CCCAGGATATAACATTGTTTCGCTCTGCTGTGCATGGGGTCGCTATGAGTCGGTTCCGACTCGATGGCACCTGACAACAACAACAACAACAATATATATATTTCACTGGGTTTGCTTTTCTAGAAAACCCAACCTAAGACGTGGTACCAAGAGAGTAGGGTTCTAGAGAAACAAGACCACAAGGATGAGTTTTCTAAATTGGTTCTCAAGTGTGACTAATTTCAAAAGGCACTGATATAAGACAGAGGCATGTCTGACCTCTACTTCATAGGAATCAGACTTGGGCTGATTTTGAGTTTGACTCTTTCTCTCTTTTGAAGTCTGAGGAGGTCAGACACAACCCTCACATGGTTTTTGCAGTTGGCATCAGTAGCAAGATTTAGTGCAATTCAGTGCTCCAGACTCATGGAAGGATGTGGTTTTATAAGAGAAAGATTGAAGGGGCCTGGGATAAAATATTTCAGCTGAGGGGAGAGCAGCTTCTGGAGTTGATGTCAGGCTGGTTAAACAGGATGGCTGATGGGACCAGGGCCTACTGGCTCCACCCTGCCAGAGGCCCCAGGCCTTGTGCATATGAATGGGATTAGTCTAAGGGTGGAGAAGGAAAGCTTGAACTTGAGTGTTTTTTAAAGGTTTATGTGTTGACTGCCTTGTGGCTATTGATTTCTCCTGCCTTTTATTGTAAAATAGGCACACGTGTGATAGAAATGACTCTTGGTAATTATGATTGCAGAGAACTTATAAGCCCACTTTCAGCCTATACTGGTCATGATTTGCTAAAAGGGAAGTAAAAATTGCTCCAGAAAGAAATGGGCTTTTTGCTTTAAGCCTTTGTATGTGTGGGGCCTTAGGTGGAATCCTGATCTCCACCCAGGACCTTCAGAGTTGGGACACTTGCATTTGAAAAGGCATGCAGACCAACTCAAAACTGCTGGGAGAAAAGAAGGTTTATGATTGAAAGAAAGCTGAGAAAAAAAGTGTACTGTTTCAGAAAAGCTGTTTGCCTCAGAGACATCAAGGCCAGAAAAGTCTGTGCTCATCAAAGAAAATCCCCTTCTCAGACTGAAAGTTAAAGGGAACAAGTGAACCGTATGCTCACAGGTGACCATCTGGGTCTACTTGTGAGTGGAATTTGGGGCAATGCAGCAATGAAGATGAGGACTGATTTTGGACCTATTCTATTAGCACCTATTGACCTTGAGATGAGGGAAGAGGATGGGTTGGCTGGTCAGAAGTTTAGGCAGTTTTGTGAACGCTTGAGCCCACGGGTACTGACCTAACCCCTTGGGGGCTAGGATTGAAAGTGAAGGGACCAACTGATCTGAAGTTCAGGGAGGTGTGTGTGAACTCCCAAATTTGCATCTGGCACCCATTTGACCTAGATTGGATAGCTAGGGATGAGCTAACCAGAATTGAACTAGATGATGATAAAGATGTTTGATACTGTAAGTGTAAATTGCTACAATTTGTTGGACTGGACTTTTGCTTATGGATGTAGTTGCTCAAAATTCCAACTGAAATGGAAGATTCTTCAGCTTATGCTTGTCTTCTCAGTGTATTGGGTCCATAGGCATGAGCAATTTAGACATTAGCTATCAAAAATGGAGGGACTAAAAGGCATGAAGTGGCTGGCTTACAAGCTTCACGGCTGTGTTTAGTTACAGAATGGAGATATGGTTGAATCACCACTGAATAATTTTCCTCTTTTCCAGATGAGTCTAGTGAAAGGGGATGGGGGATAATGCTGATAGGATTTTATTATTTCAATTGTAAGTAATTGTTAATAGGATTTATTGTGATTGTCGAAATTATAATTGTAGAAGAAGTGTAACTAAAAAAAAGTGTGTGGGGCAGGGAGTAGTTAATTTTTCATTTCAAGAACAGATGATCCCAGGACCATCAAGAAAGAAGAGAATGAGGGGAGCATGGGAGTCCTGCCAGGAAAAGTGATGACAGCAGAGACAGTGGCAGAAGCCACGGCCTTGAGAGACAGAGCAGCTGTGGACTCCAGGCCCATGGACTGAGAAAGGCTGTGTGTCTGCCTGTGGGCAGGAAGCTGGCTTGCAGAATGTGCCCTTTGGCCATTTAAGTGAATGTAAGTTTTTGTTTTGTTTGTATGTATGCATCAAATATTTTTGCTTTATTAATTTGTGATTAATGGTACCAGTAAGTTTTTGGTTGTACGTGTTTTAGTTACATCATGTAAGTTGCAAGTATGACTTTACAATGGTCTTTATTTAGAGATTATGCACATAGTCTATAGGTGTCAAGTTGACAAGAGTGAACTGTAATAGTTAGGGTTCTGTATCAACTCACTAGGCCAGGATTCTCATGATTTAGGAGTTAAGATGTGCTTATTCCCCTGGTGATAAAACCTAATACAGGTATAGTTAACTCGATGATGAGTGGCTTTAAGCATCTGATCAATTAAAGGGATGCTTCCTTGGGGGTGTGGACTGCTCCCAATATAATGGACATGTGGTAAAGGTTCTTTTTCTGTCTTCCACTGGGGACCTGGGACTCTACAACTGTAAGACATTTCCTTGATAATAAAGTTGTTTATAGATATGTATACACACATATATGTTTCACTGGTTTTGATTCTCTAGGAAACCCAGCCTAAGACAACGGTGTTGGAGAAGTATATTAAAAGTACCACAGACTGCCAGAGAACAAACAAATCACTTGGAAGTGCACCCAGAAGCTCCTTAGAAGCTAATATAGTGAGACTTCATCTCTCATACTTTGGACATGTTATCCAAAGGGACCAGTCCCTGAAGAAAGACATCATGTTTGGTAAAGTGGAGGGTCAGTGAAAAAGAGGAAGACCCCTAATCAGGTGGATTGGCACACTGGCAGCAACAATTGGTTCAAACATAACAAGGATTGTGAGAACAGCACAGGACTGGACAGTGTTTTGCCCTGTTGTGTAGCGGGTTAATATGAGTTGGAACTAACTTGATGGCACTTAACAACAACAGCCCACTCATCAATCATACTTTGATGAGTAGTGACTGGGGTCTTAAAAGCTCTTGAGTGGCCATGTAAGGTGCAATTATGGACTTGCCCTATCCGGACAAAAAACAACAACAATGAATGATAAAAGTTAAAAACACAAGGAGATTATTAGTCCAATAGTCTAATGGACTACACCAACATCAGTCTCAAAGACCCTGAGATCAGAAGAACTAGATGGTGCCCTGCTACCACTACCAACTGCTTTGAAAGGAATCACATTAGAAGGTCCTAGATAGAGTTGGAGAAACATGTAGAACAAAACTCAAAATCATAAAAGCGGTGGTGTTTTTTTTTTAATGGCTTACTAGTTGGATAGAGACTAGTGGGTCCCTTAGTCACCCTTTACGTCTGTAAATGAACTAACTCCCATGACTCAATTTTCAGCCAAACAATATAGTTCTATAAGGAACCAATGTGTTATTAGAATAATCAACTATTTGAGATCAAAAGGGCAGCATTTACCCAAGGTCAAAATTCAGAAGGGTTAGGAAGGAAGGAGGAATAGAAACAGGAAACTCAGGGAGGAAGTGGAATAAGTGATGCTTCATTGAGGGGATCACAGTCAATGACAGAACAAAATGTGTACGAATTGTTGAATGGATAACTGGTGATCTGTTCTGTAAACCTTCTATCAATTTACAATAAAAAATTTTTTTAAATGAATTGAGAAAAACACATACTTCTAAAAAAAAGAATTATCCACCTTCTGGGAAGAAAATGAGCCCCTTAGTTGAAGGCACTAAAAACACAACAGCACTGGCAACAGTAGGCTCCTGTTTACCAAGGATTATGAAGATGCCACAGAACTCTGCAGCTCTTTGTTCTGTTGTATGAGGCTGCCATGAGTCCTAAGTGGATTGATAGCAACTACACAACCTTTAGGGAGCGCGGTGGATCCATAAGATAAGCACTGGACTGAGTACCACAAGTTTCTGGGTTCGACCCTGTCAACCTCTCTGCAGGAGAAAGATGAGACTTTCTGCTCCCTAGAAGACTTAAAGCCCAGGAAAGCCTGAACTCACTCTATGACAACCTAGGTATTGGTGGTGGGCAAAGCAACTTACAATGACTACACAGCAGGGGTAAAAATGTGCAATGGAGTAAATACAAGAGCTGGGGGTACAGAAGGGTGGTTCAAAGCAGGTTTCCCCTTAGAAAGGACTTTTAATGAAGTCCAGGGAAGAAAGAAGGAAAGCCTTCCAGAGGTGCAAATGTAATAAAAACCAACATTTTCAAAATACTGTCTTGTTAGGTAACCTAACATAAAGAGGGGTCAGGAGGAGGACAAATCACACCATCATGTGAGTTGTGTTCTGGGTGTCTGGAGTGTCCTGCAAAAATGTTAATCAGATGTTGTGCTTTGCAAAGATCCCTCCTGCTGCTGGGTGGAGGATGGCTCAATTATTCCCCGGAGAGGATTTGTGGGTCAAAGACTAAGCACATTTCTATGGCTCCCCGTAAGGCACTGCCAAGTAACTTTTCCTGCTCATTGAGCTCAGCGGCCAGATTTCTTGTCATTTCTAAGAAGGGCGTGGTGTTAAGTGCCATTGAGTCAGTTCTAACTCATGGAGACTCTATATTCGGGTTTCCAACAAACAGCTGGTAAGTTTGAACCACCAACCTCGCAGTCCGCTGCTTACACTACAGCGCCACACCAAGAAAGGTGAAGCAGCGTTAAATCCCCAAACTGGCCTCATTCCTCCTACGGGTTTCAAGACCGCACCCCCTCCCTTCTCCCCGCCTCCTCCCGGCATCACCCAAGGGACGTCCAGTCCGCTCCCCATTCCTGCAGCCCCACCAGGCACGTGCTTTCTGTCTCTTGGCAGCACCCGTCCATGGCTGCTCCCACGTGACCCAAACAGTTTCGGGCACTTCCGCCTCGCCTCGGCTTTCTTCTAGTCGGTGTCCACGGCGGGTCCAGAACCGGCTGGGTGAGCCAGTGGCTAGCCTGGGGCGTCGGGAGCGGCATCGCGTGCAGACCTGGGTCGCCCGCGCTGACCTGTCCCCGTCCTCTTTCTCGTCCTTTCAGGTCCCCGCAGAGGCGGCGGTGGCGGCACCATGTCGGAGCTGACTGCCTTGGAAAGTCTCATCGAGATGGGCTTCCCCAGGGGACGCGCGTAAGGGAGTCCCTGTACCCCTGGTCCACGGGGGAGACACGGATCCGCCCTGTCTTTTACCCTCCCTCGACCTCAGGTGCTGCGCCCCAGCCTGCCCAGCACTATGGTTCTTAGGCGCCATTCACGGTGTTTTCGCCCCCAGGGAGAAGGCTCTGACCCTTACGGGGAACCAGGGCATCGAGGCCGCTATGGACTGGTGAGTGCTCAAAATAGGGGGCCAGCGGCTGTGGACTGCTGGGAGGGCGCAGCCTCAACGCTTACTTCACCCCGGACTTTCCCTTGCCAGGCTGATGGAGCACGAAGACGACCCTGATGTGGACGAACCTCTAGCGACGACTCCCCTTGGAAATGTCCTGGGACAGGAACCCACGTCTTCGGAGCAAAGTGACGCTGAAGGTCCTGGCTGGAGGACGTGGTGTGATTGTTCAGGGGCCCCTGGGGAGGATCTGAGGTGGGTTATAATGTTGGTGACTTGTTTGTAGGACCCGGGTCTACTGTGGAAGAAAAACCCGGTTTGAGTGAAGAGGAAAGACAAGAGCAGACTAAAAGGTACAGTTAGGAACAGTTTCACACTTGGAGGGGTTATGTTTCGCCTCTTATCCCATACACAAGTCTGGTCGAAGAACTTTGAATTTTTCCATCCCTTTCTATCTTGTTTTGTTGGCAAGTTTCCTCTTTTGCTTCTTTCATCTATTATGAAGTTATTGTTAAGTGACATCCAGTCGGTTCTGATTCATAGCGAACCTGTGTAGGGTTTTGGAGGAACAGCTGGTGAGCTTGAACCGCCGACCTTGAGTTTCAAACTGACCTTGAGGTCGAGCGTTTATCTCATGGCGCCACACCAGGACCTTGTAGTCCAGCCCATTAATCCACTGCGCACAGCGGGACTCCATCTTGGGTAGACGGGCCCTGATTTTGTTTCACAAGTCCGTTGTTACAAACTCATATTTCCGCACCGTGTCCATTTTCTTTCCTTACTGTAATACAGGATGATGGAGCTGGTGGCACAGAAGCAACGGGAGCGAGAAGAGAGAGAGGAGCGTGAGGCGTTGGAACGGGAACGGCAGCGCAGGAGACAGGGGCAGGAGTTGTCCGCAGCTCGACAGCGGCTACAGGAAGATGAAATGCGCAGAGCTGCTGAGGAGCGCAGGAGGGAAAAGGCTGAAGAGTTAGCAGCCAGGTCTGGGTGATGGGGATGTGGGATTAGAGACCTGAAAGGACTCAAAATTTGCTTTGTCATTGTCTGACCTTTCTTCCTTTCTGCCTTCCAGACAGAGGGTTCGAGAAAAGATTGAAAGAGATAAAGCGGAGAGAGCCAAGAAGGTAGGTGATTGGGTCCCTTTTTCATGCCTCAGAGGGAAGGATGGGCTTATCCTTGAGTGACCTGTTTCTCCTGAGGGGTGAGTGCCTGAAACTTTGACTTTGTCCTGTAGTACGGTGGCCCTGTGGGTTCTCAACCGACCCCTTCAGCAACAGAGCCAGGTCCTGTTCCCTCCTCTCCCAGCCAGGAACCTCCCACCAAGAGGGAATATGACCAGTGTCGCATCCAGGTACAGATTCTGCTTCCTGTCTTACTCCTGGAACCCCATCCTTGGCCTGTTAGGCACCCAGCTCCAAGTTCTTTTCAGTTATGTTACTTTGCCAACTCTCTTCCTTCTTTGTAAATGACATTTGAAATCCTACCTCCTCTACTCTGCTCTGAGGAGAGAGATCGCATTTCACTACCTTGGCTTTATATAAATCTATACCTCCCTCTTACTCAGCAGTTCCTTTTACTTGTTCACAATGTTCTTCATTTGGTTTATTATCTGTTTTGAGTAATGTGTCCACATATGTTTTATATAATCTTGCCTTTGTCTTGATCAGATTGTGAGGGAGCCGGAGTCTTTTTTTTTTTAACTTTTAGTGAGGTGGAGAACATAAGTGATTAGATGCTTTAAATAGTAATCGTGTTGGTTCAGTTTCTCCAGAAGTTGGGGCCAGCTTTAGCCTTGCTTTTCCATACTTGGGCCCTGTACTGTTTTATCCCACAACACTGCACCCCTTCCTTGCTCTCTAGGTCAGGCTGCCGGATGGGACTTCACTGACCCAGACATTCCGGGCCAGGGAACAGCTGGCTGCTGTGAGACTCTATGTGGAGCTCCACCGTGGGGAGGAACCTGGAGGAGACCAAGACCCCGTGCAGTTGCTCAGTGGCTTCCCCCGACGGGCCTTCTCAGAGGCTGACATGGAACGGCCTCTGCAGGAACTGGGTATGCCATGTGGGACCAGAAAGGAGTGCTTATGGGTGTTGGGGGGTGGGGGAGCATACTTGGCAATGAAGGGATTCACTGAGAGGAGACTTTGGAGGTGGAGTGAGGCCAGGAAGTTTGGGGCAAAGAACAACCATCCTCATGGCTCAAGCCTATTTTCCATTGCCAGGACTCGTGCCTTCTGCTGTCCTCATCGTGGCCAAGAAATGTCCCAGTTGAGGGGCCTCTACCCCATCCCCCACCTCTGACCTTTTCATCTTTGATAAGCACTGACACCCCCATCCTAATAAATAGACTTTCTGAGTTCTGTACGGGCTTGATTCCTTTCTGAATGGCTGGCTGTGCAAAATGGCGGCAGAGGACGGAGCTCAAGGGAAGCCATCTGGAGAGACCCCGAGGTTGAGGTGCTGAAGGTAGGGAGTACATTGGATGATACCTTATGTACAACTTTAAAATCCAGATTCTGTTGCTTACTAGTCACGTGCCTTGAATTCTTTTAAGTCTAGTTTCTTATTTAAGAAAATGGGGATAATAGTACCTGTTTTGAGGGTTGTTGTGAGGATTAAATAATCCTGATAATAAGGTGATTTAGCAGTGTGCCAACTACCGGTTACTAAAAGGTTAACTGCGTGGTTTGAGTGAAAGTTTACAGATCACATTAGTTTTCCACTCAGTTCCTTCCCATTTTGATTAGTGATGAAGTACAGTCCTCCCAATGGAACAACACACTTTCCATTTCTCCTTGCAGTTACCAGTCCATTGGTCCTTCTTTCTTAACTCCTTCCTGCCTTCTGAGCTTTATCCCTGGGTAAATACCACTCTTTCATCTCATATAATTGGTTGGTCTAGGAAATGTGTGCCTCCTTGATGTTATTTTTTCACCTTATTGGCCTATTGTTTGGCTGAGAGTTGAGCCACACTGCGAAGTTGTTTGAACTGCAAGGTTGGTGGTTCAAGTTCACCAGATGGTCACCCTGTGGTCACTATGGGTCGGAATCGACTTGATGGCACTTAACAACAACAAAGACCGTTTTAAACATCCCTGTGGGTCGCTATGGGTTGGATCTGACTTGACGAAGGCACTTCACAGCAATCACAAATGACCATAGGGAGTCCTGGTGTGCTGTGGGTTAATGCACGGGATTGTGAGGTCAGAGGCTCAAGCTCACCAGCCGCTCCTCAGAAACCCTCCCTATCCAGGGTCACCATGAGTCAGAACAGACTCCGCAGCACCTGACGGCAGGAAGGACCAGAGTCTTGGGGAGTTCACCTGTCGCTTTCAGACCATTAAGTCAGTCTGGTCTTCATGACTTGGAGTTTTTCTTCCCCTCTATATTAGTGGTCCTGGGGTGGTGCTGTAGGATAAGCATTTGACTGCTAATTACAAGGTCTGTGGTTCAAACTCACCAGCCACTTGGAAAGCCAGTAGGGTCACTGTGAATCAGAACCGACTCTAGAAAGCTCTTAGCAACATACTAGTGGCACTCAGACACCATCTAGTTCTGGTTTCAAGATCATGGAGGCCTGGGGTTCATGCAGTTCATTAGTCCTTTGGACTAACTGTTTCCACACATCTAATGTCTTTGATTTTCTTCACTGTGCTTTGCACGTCAGATGTTTTTGTTTTTTTAAATGGCCTCCCCACAAACGTCCAGAGGATCATCAGGGTGATCTTTGCAAGCACATCTCTCCTGCTCTAATAAAAGTAACAAGTCACAACCCCACCGGTGCTTTCCTAATAATAGTGCCCAAAATTACCAAGTGCATCATACAAGCGGGCTTCCAAAAAGTTCATGAAAAAGTGGAATTAAAAGAATAGGATTTTCCCACAAACTTTGACGCCTCCTCAAGTGTATTAATTGATATTTGAAGGCACTTAAAGTGTAAGGAGCTCTGGTAGCATAGTGGTTACGAATCAGGCTGCAAACCTTAAGGTCAGCAGTTTGAAACTACCAGCCGCTCTGCGGGAAAAAGATGAGGCTTTCTGCTCCCGTAAAGATTTACAGCCTTGGAAACCTTGTACAGGGTCGCTATGGATCGGAACTGACTCGAAGGCACTTAACAACAAATCACGGTATAAGTCTAAGTCTCCCATTTGCAAGATGATGCCAAAGCACACGACTTGCCCAAGGTGACATAGCTAGCAAGCTGTAGAATCTGGACACAGGCCTGGGAAGCTGCTGACGTCAGGGCTCAGGTTCTGACCACACTCCTCCAAGGTGGCCCCTCTTGATGCTCTATCAGACAGCTGTTGACCCCTTGCCTCTACTTCCCAGCCACCCTGGAAAGACCATACAAGTATATTAGGCTTACAGCTCTACCACCTAGCAGCTGGATTTACCTCAGAGCTAGCAAGCTTCATTTAGTAATCTCACTCTAACAAAAGCAGTCTTTTCCAACTGGAATCTTGCTTGAAATCACAGGATATAAAATAACCCAGAGGGGTGGCTCTGTTGACTTGGGTGTGGGACTTGGGGCCTCACTGCTTTATCAGTGGCACCTCCAACAGAGCCTATGGATTCACAGAGACAGGAAACTTAAAACCTTCAGGAGAAAAAAACCCCACAAAACTAAAGACACTGCGTTTATTCAGAGCTTGCACTGTGCCAGGCACTACACTTAAAATTACATTTCTAAGTTAACTTTTATAGTAATAGTTGCCAAAACACCATCTTTTGTAAAGCAGAACTGATGCTCAGAGAGTTTTTGTAATTTGCAGGAGTTGAACCAAGATCTGACTCAAAAAATAAAAAAAGCATGTACCTTTCACTATTTCATAGCTAGTCAACCTCTCTAGCTTCACCAGAGGTAGAGAAAACAGTCTGTCAGCAGTTTGTCATACTGTGGTGACCTGCGTGTTGAAGCTATGCCACCAGTACTTTAAATACCAGCAGGGTCACCCATGGTAGGACAGGTTTCAGCTGTGCTTTCAGAATAAGACAGACTAGGAAGAAGGCGAGGTGGACTTCGGAATGTTTAGCCATTGAAAACCTTATGAATAGCAGTAGAACACTGTTAGATAGCACCAGAATATTGAATATTGAAACATAATGAATAGCACCAAAATATTATGAGGTATAAAGCCATAAAATGAGCCCCGCATATTGGAAGTCACTCAAAATACAACTGGGGAAGAGCTGCCTCCTCAAAGAGTTGATCATGATGACAAGATTGAAGTAAAGCTTTGAGAACCTTCATTTGCTGATGGGGCACAATTCAAAATGAAGAGAAACAGCTGTAAACACCCATTAAAAATCAGGACATGTAACAGACAAAGCATGAATCTAGAATTATTGGAAGTTGTAAAAATTGAAATGGAATGCATAAACATCAATATCCTAGGTATGAGTTGAAAAGGACTGATGTTAGCAGTTTTGAATCTGACAATCACATGGGTTACTATGCCGGGAATGACAAATGGAAGAGGAATGGTGTCGCATTCATCATCAAAAAGAACATTTTAAATCCATCTTGAAGTATAATGCTGTCTGATAGTATAATATTCATATGCCTATAAGGAAGACCAATTAATAACCACTATTATTCAAATTTATCTGCCAACCACTAAAGCCAGTGATAATGAAATTGAATACTACCAACTTCTTCATTCTGAAATTGATCAAACATGTAATCAGACTGTATTGGTAATTACTGGTGATTGGAATGCAAAGGTTGGAAACGAAGAACAATTATTAGTTGGAAAACATGGTCAGTCGTGGTGATAAGAAACAATGCTGGAAATCGAACGATAGAAATTTGCAAGACCAATGACATTCATTGCAAATACCATTTTTCAACAACATAATAGACGACTATACACTCGGACCTCACCAGGTGGAATACACACACATCAAGTACATCTGTGGAAAGGGACATTGCAAAAGCTCCGAAACAAGGTCAGGGGCAGATTGTGGAACAGACCATCCATTGCAGGCTGAAGCTGAAGATAAAACAAGTCCACAACAGCCAAAATATGATCTTGAACATATCCCACCTTAATTTTGAGATCATCTCAAGAACAGATTTGATGCACTAGACACTAATGAAGGAAAATCAGAAGAATTGTGTGATAGTACCAAGAAGATCCTAGAGGAAGTAAGATAATTAAGAAGACAAAAAAGAAGGAAAAATCCCCCAAAATGGATGCCAGAAGATGCTCTGAAACTTGCTTTCCAGAGTAGAGATGATAATGTAAATGGAAGACACAAGGAGGTAAACTAACTGAGCAGGAAATTCCAAAATGCAGCTCTTAGAGAAGGCAAAGTCAGATATTATACTGAAATGTACAAAGACCTGGAGTTGGAAAACCAAAAGGGATGAATATACGCAGCATTTTTCTAGCTGAAAGAACTGAGGAAAAAATTCAGTATTGCAAGTAGAGGCTTGCATTCAGTATTGCAAGTTGAGGCTGGAATTTTTTCCTGAAGTTCTAGAAGGCACCAAACAACAAGAGTAAACAGAGCAAATAACCAGAGGGCATCATGGAACAGGGAATGTGCTCTCCAACCTCACTCACAGGGCTGGAGAAACCCAGAGAGCCTTTAAGGCACAAGATTTTCCTGCGTGGTTCAGATTTCAAGAGTGACTGGATTATCCGTAGTTCTCCACGCAGTTTTATGAGTCAGGCTGCTAACCTTAAAGTCAGCAGTTCTAAACTACCAGCTGTTTTGCTAGAGAAAGAGGAGGCTTTCTGCTCCCGTGAAGATTTACAGCCTCGGAAACCCTAGGCAGGGTCGCTGTGAGTTGGAACCGACTCCACGGCACTTAACCACCACCAAGCTTATTGGAAAGCAGCTCTGGTAGCGTAGTGGTTACGAATCGAGCTGGGAACCGCAGGGTCAGCAGTTTGAAACTACCAGCTGTTCCGCGGGAGAAAGAGGCTTTCTGCTCCCCCATAAAGATTTATCAGCCTCGGAAATCCTGTACAGGGTCGCTATGAGTCGGGACCGACTGCACTCCACGGCACAAAACAACAAGTTTATTGGACAGGAGTCGCCTGCGTGGGGGCGGGGCAGGTGGGAACCTTAATGTCTCTTTGGACAGAGGCATAGGCCCCCACGCTACTTAGGCATTTGGAGGTGTCGGACTAAAAGGGTGCACTCTCTAGATGGTGTAACGTGATTTATTAATTTCATTTCGCCACATACGCCCCGAACTCCATCCCAGCCCGCTGTACAATCAGTGCAGGGTTGCAGGACAAGGTGCTTGTCCAGGGGAATCTCCTGGGACCCCGGAAAGGCCAGGGCGCGGCATCCCGAGTCTGACTCCTCGCCGGGCCACAGTGAGCAAGTGGTAGAGCCTGGACACACACCTGGCAAGAGCCTGACTAGGGGTCAGGCTCCGGCCACCATACTCTTTCATAATGACCCCGAGCGTAGGTACCAGATTCCACTGGGGCAAATCCGGGTTTATGTCGACCTCCCGCCGCCGCCACTGCCGTCCATCCAGTTCTTCCTCCAGGCCACATTCTCTTGAGTGGCTGCTGCCTCCTGTAGTGTCGCCAGCAGCAGCTCCTTGGTTTTGGCAGCCTCTGTCCTGCGCCGCGGGTCCTGCTCCGGCATCTCCTGCGGGCAGGGAAGGAGGTTCGAGGTCTCAGCCCCCAACTAGGAGCTCGAAGCCCGCCTGCCCCACTTCGGGACTCCCAGTTGCTCCCACCTTGAGCATCGACTGTATCTTTTCCTCTCCCGGGGTCACGAGGACAAAGAGCGCGGAGCCCACACCAGCTCCTACGCCCAGCACTGCGCCCACGATCAGCGCCTTCCGCAAGACCTCCATGATGGACCGCGCGACCAGCGAGGCCGCCTGGCGGTCTTCCCGTAGCCTGAGCAGACCACTGTCGACCCGCTGCGCAGGCTTTGTTATTGTTGTTAAGTGCCGTGGAGTTGCTTCCGATTCATAGCGACCCTTTATAGGGTTCCGGAAGAGTGTCTGGCTGGTTTGAACCGCCGACCTAATCGACCTTGTTGTCGAATTCTTATCCTACAGCGCCACAGCAGGCTAGAGAGGCCCATCACGGAAACCATAGAGGAGGAGCGGGCTAGAGAGGGCCTGAGCCTAGAAACGTCTGACATCTAGTGTGTCTGAGTAGAGGAAGCTGAGTGAGTCAAGTGTTACCATACTTTAAAAGAAAGTATAGACACAACCGGCGGGACGCAAGGGGAGGTGCGTGTCCCCATGGTTGCAGTCTGTTTTACCTTTATCCAGTATTCAGCCCTGAGAAATCTCCCAATCAATGTAAGAGGGCTCTGCCCTTTAGTTTCCTGTAGTTACGTGTGCTTACAGCACAGAGCAGTCATCAAATAGATACACATCATTCCATTGACAGTATCTCTACCTCCCTTTCCAGTCCTCCCCCCCCCCCCACTTTCTTCAACTTTAGACTGGAGCTCAAAATCAATTGTTCTTGATAGGGGAAAAACCCCACTGCCCCTGAGTTGATTCCGACTTAGGACTCTGTAGGACAGGTTTTCCAATGCAGTAAATCTTTATAGAAGTGGACTGACATCTCTCCCAAGCTGCTGGTGGGTTCGTACTGCTAACCTTTCTGTTAGCAGCCCAGGAGCTTTAACCACTGCGCCATCGGGGCCCACGGATAGGCAAAAGGGTATAGTTTTATATATTATATATATATTTTTTTTTCCACAAGCAAGGATTACATTTTTCAACATGGTACATTCTTGTCTTTGGATTAAAAATATATACATTTGAAAGCATATAAACTCCTTTTCCTCTTTTTTGGATTTTATGCAATATACCAAACTAAGTTTAGAGTAGACGATTCCAAGTTGCGTGACTCTGGAAAAGGACCTTAACTTTTGTGATTTGGTTTCTGCACCTAAAAATGAGGGGAATAATAGTTCTTAACTCAGTTTTAGAATAGTTTATTTGTAAAGCATTTAAAACAAATAGAAACATCTTGTAAGTGTTCCTTAACAGTATGCCAAGTTGGTAGACCCAATATAGAGTCAGATATTCTAAATCCATTGCCCAAAGTGAAGTGCTTCGGTGTCCCTTCTGCTCCAGGGAGTGAGTAGCAATAAATCTCTGGCTCCACCTCTTGGCCACTGTCCCCTCTCATAGTTAAGTGTTGTCCACTTGGTTCCAACTTATACCTATGGTTCAATCCAACCTTATGGCTGAGTGCTTATCCTACAGCGCCACACCAGGACTCCTGTGTCTTAGCAGGTCATCCTCCTCTCCTCAGAAGTGATTAAGGGGCCAGACACCAAAACAGATTAAAGAAGCTGTCTGGGAATTGACCTACCTACAATCTAAGACCACCACCTTGTCCCTTGTGCTGGGAACAGTGAGGAGGATGGGCATTGATTGGTCTAGAGATGAGGTTCTTCCAGGAATCCAAGTAGCCCCAGGCTGACCAACCTTCTCAGTAAGGACATAGGGGAGATTGCAGGGCTGAAGGACACCAAGGTGCTGTGGGGAGCTCCAATGGTTCCAGGAGCTACTCCTGCTCACTAATGGAGAGGCTGCGGCCTTCCAGGTGAAGATTATTGTGAGCTGGGTGTTCTGGGAAATGAGCTGTCCCTGCAATCAACAGTGCCAGGCACCTTAGATGTTCTACAAACATAAAGAAGACATTGTAATTCCCTTAACTTCACTTTGTAGAAGAGTAAACTGGAAGTCCTGATGGGGTGCTGTAGGATAAGCACTGGACCACGAGGTGGAGATGGGTAGTTCAAATGCACCAGCTGCTCTTCAGAAACCCTATACAGGGTCACTTAAATGAAACAATACCTGCACCCAGCTACTCAACATGGAAGTCTGGAACCAAACCCTCACTTTCCAGCCATCTATCTCAACAGAAACACCAGGGTGAGGATGGAAGTCACTTCTGACTTATGGTGGTTATGTGCTGTGGAGTCAGTTCCGACTCATAGCGACCCTGTACAGGGTTTCCAAGGCTGTAAATCCTTCTGGGAGCAGAAAGATATGTCTCCTGTGGAACAGCTGGTAGTTTCAAACTGCTGGCCTTGCGGTTCACAGCCCTAATCTGTAACCACTACGCCCTGTATAGGTGTGTTTTAAGCACTGACCCTGTAATCCAGCACATTAACCAGCAGTGCCACACCAGGACTCTGGGGTAAGGACTAATGCCTTTAATGAGAGCTTTGAACCAAGTAAGCAAAGTAAGTAAGCCCTCTCAAAGGACCTAGCTCCTGCACAGTCACCGTACTGCCCGGGGACCCTTGTTCCAAACAGGGTAGCCGCACATCAGGGTCTTCATCAGAGAACTGAATAAGGGTCCCCCGAGGGCCCAGGACTCTCAGGCACTCAGACAGCAGCTGGTAGGCCCCAGGCAGACCACCCCGGGCAACAGCATCCCAGGTACCCTTGTCCAGTACCAGCTGAAAGGAGCTAGAGGGAGCCACTGGTTGCAGGTTCTGGGCATCAGCTTGCTTGAAGCGTAGGCAGGAGGCCGGGTGTGCAGGGCGCAGAGGGGGTTGGCCTTGACCCCCCTCTAGGAGGCTGTTCATGTGCGCCACAGCCACAGGAGAAAAGTCTACCCCCAGGACATCCACAGGGTGTGGGCACTTGGTAAAAAGACCTGTGCACAGGCTGGAGGTCCCACAGCCCACGTCTAGCACCCGTAGTGGACAGGCAGCCTGTGCTTCCTGCAGTAGTGGCAAAAGAAGACCCTGAATTTCTTCGTAGCCAAAGAACCAGTCGAAGGTGGGGACACTGCCCAGACGAGGCTGTGCATGGAGCCGATCCCAGAGGCGGCGATCGGCCAGGCAGCTTCCAGCCAGGGAACCTGTTGACACGGGTGAAGGGTAGCTGTCACCCGACGTACCAATTCTCATCACTGCCAAACTTCCGGGCCCTCCCACTGTGTACGCCCTCCCTACCCAAGGTGCGGCGCAGCGCTGCCATCCCGAGATGCCGGCAAGGTCAGCCAGGGACCTTCAGCGAAATGCAGCCCGCCAGAGAGGAGCCAAGGGTGGGGCACTGGGGAGGGTCTGACGTCCAAGGGAAAATCTGCAAATTCCGGGTCGTGGAAGAACGCAGACACAGACCAAGTATGGCGCCAACAATCTTTATTGGTGGCAATGAAAAGGCAAGACAAGCGTGGATACGACAGTTCCTGCTTCTGGGGCAGCGTTCATGGCCTGAAATCAAAGGAGAAGACATGAGTACCCCGGAGGGGCGCCTCTGTTCTTCTCTATTCCTCGGAGTCTCTTGTCCCGGCGTTTGAGGATAGAACCGGCAGACGGGAAACCGCCGGCACCGAAGACATGACGCCGAGGGGACCGGAGTCCTTTCCCTCTGCCTCCGTACATAACGGGGTCCGGAACCACGCACCCGAAGCCCGCCAAGAAAAGGAGGGTCCACAAGCCCCACCAAGGTCCCGCCGAAGCCCACACTTACCAAGTCGTCCCGCCGGAAAGGCCGTACAGCCTGCCGAGAATCTTTATATAACCCTGGAGACCCGCCCCCGAGCTGCGATTGGCCGTAGGAGGGCAGAGGGCGTGGGTCCGCCGCGCCGACACAGCTGGGAACGGAAACGCTGACTCGGAGCAGGCGTGGCGGCGTAACCATGGGGGCTCCCGGCGGGAAGATCAACCGGCCTCGGACGGTGACTGCGTGGAGTCCCGGACCCTTTTTCCCCCAGCGTTCTCGGCCCCGACTGCCCTTCCCTCCGGCAGTCGTCCAAGGGTTCCCCTTCGCTGGCCCAAGACGGGATTAAAGGGGGCGGGTGTCCGAGGTCGCGCTGCGCTGCCTCGGACTGATTCGCACCTTCTCGCCCCTCAGGAGCTGAAAAAGAAACTGTTCAAGCGGCGGCGAGTGTTGACCCGGGAGCGGCGACAGAAGCACCGGGTGGTCGGGGCTGTGGTGGACGAAGGGCTGACCACGCGGCACCACCTCAAGAAGCGGGCGTGAGTGGCATCCCCTGCCCCCTGACGCTCCCGTCCCCGCCTTCCCTGCACACGCAATGTTTATGCGAGGGACGTTTGTCGGGCGGTTTGTGCAAACACTCTGCTTGTGTTAAGTGCCTTGAGTCAGTTCCGACTCATAGCGACCCTGTGTAGGGTTTTGGAGTAGTGGCTGGTGGGTTTGAACCGCTCACCTGTGGTTAGCAGTCCAGTGCTTATCCTGCAGCGCCACAACCAGGATTCCCACACTCTGCTAACGTCTTACAATACGGTTCCTTTGAGTCCTGAACCCTATGGAGCATCCAAGGAAAACTCGATTTTCCACCCTCCCAGTAACAAGGTGCACTAACATAGACTTTTATAAATAAACTTACTTTATAGAGAAGCATATATATATAAGGGGGTGTTGTTGTTAAGGGTCCTCAAGTCAGTTCCCACTCATAGAGACCTTGTGTAGGATTTCCAAGGAGCAGCAGGTGGGCTTGAACTGTTGACCTTGCGATTAGCAGTCCAGTGCTTACCTTGCAGCACCACCCTAGGACTCCATAACGAGGTGTACTGTTAGTTAGTTTGCATACAAGCTTCAAGACTCCCAAAGTCTCGGGAAGCATTCCCATCCATGAATTTGTGTCCTTTCATTGGCGTTCTTCATTATAAGTATTTACAGTCACTCTGTAGGGTAAGTACTGGAGTGCCAACCACAAGTTTGGAGGTTTGAGCCCACTAGCTGCTAAGCAATAGAAAGAATAGACTGTCCCTGTAAAGATTTACAGTCTCATAGGGTGGCTATGGAGTTCTGGTGTGGCACCATAGGATAAGCACTTGACTTCAAGGTCTGTTTGAACGTCAAGGTCGGGAGCTCAAGCTCACCAGCCACTCTGCTTTTGGCTCCCATAAAGATGGACACTCTTGGAAACCATATACAGGGTCGCTCGAGTCAGAACTGACTCATTGGCAGTGAAGGCGAATGAGACTGTATCCTGAACTTGAACATGGTTTATTTAACCCTCACTGGACTGCAAACCACAAGGTTGGCAGTGAGAGCCTACCAGCTGTTCTGCAGGAGACAGATAAGGCTTTCTGCTCCGCAGATTTAAAAGCCTTGGGAATCCTATATTGTTACGTGTCATGGAGTCGGTTCCGACTCATAGTGACCCTGCACCGGGTTTCCGAGGCTATAAATCTTTATGGGAGCAGAAAGCCTCATATTTCTCCCATGGAACAGCTGGTAGTTTCAAACTGCTGACCCTGAGGTTAGCAGCCCGATTTGTAACCACTATGCTACCAGAGCTCCTTGGAAACCCTATATAGGGTACTGACTCGACGGCACGCAGCAACAACTTTAACCTTAAGGTATTTGTTCTTATTAATATCATTATCTATGTTTAGTCTAAGTGCCATAGAAGCTTTGAAGCAGGAGAGCCCAGGTTTCCAAACAGTTTTGTGATTTGAATCTGAAGACCTTTGCTATAGCCATAACCATTGGTGTGGTCTCGTAGGTGGTTGTTAAGTGCCTTCCAGTGGGTTCCAACTCATTGATTCTTTATAGGGTTTCCATGGAGTAGCTAGTGGGTTTGAACTGCTGACCTTGTGGTTAGCAGTCTAGTACTTATCCTCCAGTACCACATGAGGACTCCTCCTAGGTTTCCTCAATTTAATTTGAATTTCTTTGCTGCTACCTGCCCTTTGAAGTCCTGGTGTGGCCTTGTGGGTTAATGCACTAAACTGCAAAGCCAGCTTGAACTTTTGAACTGCAAGGTCGGCAGTTCAAGCTCACCAGCCACTCATTTGGAAACCCTATATAGGGTTGCTGTGGGCCGAAACTAACTCGACAACTCTTAACAAAAACAACCTACCCTTCAGAATCCCTGGGTAATACAAATGAGTAAACTTGACTATTAAGTTAGGTAGGTAGTTCAAATCCACTTCGAGGCAGCTGAGAATAAAGGTGTGGTGGTCTTTCTATTTCTAGATGACATACTCCAGAACCTTATTGAGTTACATTGTGGGAATTGCTGTCACTATTGAACCAAAATCTGTATAAATTGTTGAATCGAAAACCGACTAGCTCTGTAATCTTTCATCCAAATTGCCAAAAAAAAAAAAATTTTTTTTTAAGGTAGCAAAAAGAGTGGCTTGGGATACCTTTGAGAGCTGATGACATACATTCTGTGTAGTTGTATCACTAAGATCTTACTGAAAGTCACCAGTATTATTTTTAAACCATAGTTGGGAAAAAAATGAAAGCCCAGTGAAAAATGTGAATGATGACAGGAAAGGAAATGAACAACAAAACTCTATGGAGTGTAGTGGGGAGTGTGGCGGCTCGCTCTGTAGGGTAACCGCTGGACAGCTAACCACAAGGTCTACGGTTTGAGTCCACCAGCTGCGTTCTGCTCCCGTGGATTTACAGCCTTAGAAACCCGATACACAGAAGCTATGAGTTGAAACCAACTTGATGGGCACTTAAGAACAACACACGTGGGCTCATCATGAATGGAATTGATTTGATGGCAACTGGTTGGGCTTCTGGCTTCAGGTCCAGTGCACGTGCCAACATTACTCTGTCAGGGAAGAAGCGCAGAAAACTCCTCCAGCAAATCCGGCTTGCCCAGAAGGAAAAGGCAGCCATGGAAGGTGAGGCTAGAGCAGGGAGCTGGGATGGGTGGGGAGCCTGCATCCATTGGGGCTCTTTAATGCTTCCTGTTTCCTTTTGCTTAGTGGAAGCCCCTCCAAAGCTATCCAAGACCAGTGAGCCACAGCCCAAACGCCGAAAGACAAAAGCCCCCCAGGATGTCGACATGGAAGACCTGGAAGACAAGAGCTAGCTCGCTCACCTCTTCTATCACAAGTTTTCCACTGGTGCCAGGACTTTGGAGAAGGCACGCTCTCCCTTCCCCCTCCCCAGGTTCCTCTTCCACACTGGTGCCCTCCTAGGGGGCGTGTTGGGAGAGGACAGGATAGAGAAGAAAGGCTGGGACGGGAGTTTACCAGCAGCATTTCTACTTGTAATAAAGTCTCGAGTCTGACAGGTGTGTGTGAGTACATGCAGGAATGGGGGTGGGCACTGAAAGGGCGTGAGTGTGCCAGCAGGATCCACAGAGCTTGTTTGAGCAAAGTCAACAAAAAGCCAGCCTCTGGTGGCCCTGTTTCCCTAGTTGATGACACTCTCAACTTTCCAGTCCTAATAAAAATGTAAGTTACTGTGAGAATGAGAGGAAGTAAGAGATCTGAGATTGCTTACTCCATGGTCTCTGCCACGCCACTGTGATGTGCGGTAGAATCGATTTGATGCACGTGATACACATGATATAGTTATTGGTGATTTGTTTTTATTTTGTTTTTTAATTCTTCAACATCTGGCAGAAAATCTCCAGAAAGTGCTCATTTCCTTCCTCAGGTGGAATGAAGGTGTATTGTTTGAATAGCGCTAGCGGAATCAGTCTGACTTCAAGCGGGCGTGATGAAGATCAGTCCAAAGCTGACTCCTAAGAGGAGATAAACAAACCTCCACTTTCCAACCTTTTTACCAATTCTGATGCAAACTGTTCTTGGCACCTCAGCTGAGTTCAGTAATCCATTGTAATGGCTGAATGGTTTCGTCAGGACATAATGGGACAACTTGGAATCAGATCCGGAAGCATGTAGATAAAACCTGAAAGCCTTCTCCAAAGTGGAGAGCACATCCCTCCTTCAGGGCAGAAGAGTTCTCTCCGCTCCTCACAACCATGACCCTCTCAGCCACGCAGGCCTTGTCTCCATGTCCTCTGCCTTTCGCCTCCCTGCCATTCCACTGCAAACGGACCCTGCTGATAGCCATAGCAGGAGCTTTGTCCAGTTCACTTAGCTGCACCCCTAGAAGCAGGGCCCCTCTGGGCTTCTCTGTTTTTAGTGTTACAGCTCTTGACCAGTATTAATAACCTGAGGAGGTTCTTTGCCTTCTCTCTTCTTTCTGATTCTTCTGGCTCTTTCTGCTTCTTTCTGTCTGTAAGACCTCTCTGGGGTTAGCTACATATGCTGTACACACACATACACATAACTCCTTGTTAATTTCAAGTCATGCCTTTCCTCCCCCCCCCCCCCAACTCCAGAGGGCCTACAAACTGACCAATCCTCTCTCATTAGGTCACATACTTTATTTGCATAGTCCAAAGTCACTTCATTTGCATAGTACATTGCAAGGTGCCTACCATTCATAAGGCAGACTGCAGCCCAGGACTAGACAAGAAGTATCAAACCAAATTGTTTATAGCTTGTCAGGAAAAGTTCATCAGCCGCGACTAAAGTAATAAATCCTGCAAGGGAAAAAAACTAGGGCAAAGGTAACTTCTCAGGGTTTAGGGGGAAAATCAAGTGTGTTTTTTCAAAATTAGCCTGCTATGTTTGGTCAATCACTTAACTCATCCCTGATGTGCTGGCCGTAACTGGTTGTCTTGGCAGAGCCAGACTAAATGATACTGCAGT